TTTTTATAACAAATAGGAATGAGAAAGTAAGCAAGGCTTCCTATAATATTGAAATCAGTTTGAGAATAGATGAATGAGAATTTACATCAAAGGTGTGAATCAGAATTTCATTCTGTCTTTCCTGTGCAAATTGTTCGTTTGTTTGTTTACTTTACAATGTAGTAGATATGTATTTCGTGTTTGTCGGTTATATTTCAATAATTATAGTTACAGTTATGAAAGTTGACAGATGAGAACGTTAACGTTTAATTTTATTAAAAGTGTGTAAATTATGCATTAGTGAATTCAGGGAATATTTAAAATGATAAATGAGAACAGGTAACAATACATGATCCCGTGTCGGAAAACAACACAACTGTGTTTCATTAAATATTATACTTAGACATTGGTTAAATTAAATACTAACTTGTAATTAAAGAGAAGTATAAAGAGTGTCACATATGAAATTGTTTAGGCAGATCTTCCACCGGCCCACAAATAATAATGATAAATTTTCTAAGATTGTGAATTATGTTGTCCGGAAAGGTAAGTAATTTGGGAATATAAAAATGAATAGGCTTTAAACCAAAAAACACATATTATAGATATGGCAATTCAGTAATAATTCGCTTTATTGTTTTCCATTTACTATTAAGACATTATTTTTATTATATTATTATTTATTTATTTATTTGATATATGATGTAGTTCATTCGACTCATTCCTTTTGTTCCTTTGTTAGGTTAGAAAAAATGTATTCACTTCTTTTATATTGCTAAATTATCATTAACTTTATAAGCATGCTAAGCAATTAAAGCAAATGTTTCTATGCGGTTTTTATCTCCCTCTACGTGCTTTAACGTAATCAACATAAATTTTGAAAATATGGGCAACAAAGAAAAATTGAGTTATATATAATTCGGTTACTTAATTCAATTCCCTGACGTAGGGTCGGGAACGAGAATTAAATAATGGCAGCTATCTGTACCAAAAACTAAGCAAATTAACACGTATTATGTTAAGCTCGATTCGCGTCCCATGTCCGTTCTGTTGGCTCCCTAGTGGCAAACTGCGTTTGCTTTGCTGCAAAACGAGCAGAAAGCAGAAACGTTATCAGGGTACACAAAGGGAAATTTAATTAAAACGGCGAGGTCCTTATGTTCGTTGCTGCTGAATACTTCCGATAGCAGCGGAGAAAATTGTATTTCCTCTTGCATCGCAATGAAACGCCCCCGCGACCTTGTCATAACCAAGGCATTCATTCGTGTAGCTTTGAGGCCTTCCATTCGGCTACGTTTTATCTTATTCCACGTGCTCCCATCACACTTGCGATGACCGAAACAGTTTTAATGGTCATTTTGTACCGCCTTTCTCTTTCATGTGCTTTTGTGAAAACGTACCCAAATTTCATTAAATTTAAGTAAATTACAAATACACTTCTGAACTTCTGCGAACAGACATAATCCAGCAACATACCAAGTGCATTCTCATTTTTGTTAATATATTGTAACCTGCCACGTGGTCTTTGGATGCGGGATTACATGTTCAATAAAACACATACAGGATTAATTTCACAGCGCATTTATTTAAAATTCAAAATGGTGATGATTAGCATGCAAATGAATGAATTTACAAAATTACTACAATTTCGGATTTTAGTTTTTACTGCTTACTAGTTAAACTGGAGTGATTACAACAACAAAAAACAATTAATTTTGCCGATAAAAAAATATGCCGTATAGGTGGCATCTAGTGTAGCGTCGTGCCACGCTCAAACCGCTGGGTGTTAAACAAAGGGCGGAGTGATGACGCACTGGGACACTCCGTGGACGTAGCGGGCACAGAGCGGCTTTGGGGAGGACGCAATGGGGGCGGCGGGTAGAGCCAAAAGGGTCTCTATAAGGCCAGGACAACAATGCCCCCGTTTTCTTGTGCTAGCGGCGTCGGCGACAGGTGCAGCGCGTGTCTGTGCGTGTAGGTGCACTAGGGCGAGGCACCGGCAATTCATTGTCGTGACTTGCGAGACGCGTAGATGGTCTCAAAGTGGAGCGGCTTCATACAGGGAACATCGGTGGTATGTTGCGGTGTGGTAGCCGTTCTTAAATTATCTCTCCTTGTCCTATTTATTTAGTTTATTGTGAGCAGGGTAGTTGTTAAATTGAGACTACGGTCTAGATTGTTAATAAATCTACTGTTTTACAAACCACTCTCGTCTGTGTTGGATTACACCCGTATGACGCCACACTAGTCTGTCAGCTTCCTTCGTTGAAGTCTCTCGGCCTTTCAGCGAGCAAGTTGAGAAGACAGGGACCCGATTAAGGGTCATTCACACAAATCTTACTGTGCAAAGGCATGTTGTTTCTTTCTGAACGGCTGGGCACCGGCAGGACCTGCGGCACAGCGGGCGGCGAGCACGCCCCACACTCGGTCAAAGCCACACGTGCGTGATGACAGCAGCCAACGACGTACGATCTTAGAACCTACCGAGGCGTCGGCGATGTCGCGTTAACGTGGCAATCGGCTGAGTTCGATTCCCGAACCAAGCGGGACCGCAGTCAGTGTTATATCTAGGCTAACCGGGACGAGACGCGTCACTGGCATGGTGGCTAACGTTTCGGCCAGCGTATTGTGGCCTTCCTCAGACAGTACTGCTGCTTCTTTCCTCAGCAGTACGCTCTGAGAAAGGCCACAATACGCTAGATAACACAAACTCCAGTCGCGGACGCCTACGCAACGCAGTCAAAGTACCGGTCGGAGCACAAGTGAAGATGAGCTCATGAGTTCTAAGCACTATTCTAGTGCCGAAAATAAACTGCAAGTGCATGCTAGTGCGAGTCAGCACAGCAAATTCATTGCGAGTTCAAGCTAGAACGCCGGACATTACAAGTGCCACTTTGAGTCATAAATTTGCAAGTGCCAAGTCATGTTTCAGACGCCTGTCCGAGATGCAAAAACCAAGTCATTGCAAGTCGGAGCTTGGGACAGAAACCAAGTGTGTCTTCGAAAGACAGAAACCGAATGATTTCGGAGCCTCACTCGTTACAAAACGAAGACTTCAATCCCCTCCTCTAACCCTAGTGCCTCACTCTACCCTTATTAAATCGGCTATTGGAAGCTGTGGCGGGGCGATCTTCGGAGCAATGGTGCGTTTCCTCATGCGACAAAGAAATTTTCGCTGCATTTTTGGTGCGACGGTTTAACGGGGCTCCTACCCGGGGCGGGGGGGTACGCCTCCCTGTCCTCTGGTTAGTGGAATTCGACGCAACTGTGGTCTAACGGCGCTCGCGGCGATCTTTGAAAATATTCATTTTCTTTTTAAGAACCATCTGGGCGACGCGCAAGTGCGTGTTTCGAATCGCTGGTAAGCAATTTTATTGGGGCAAGGGGGGGGGGTCGAACGGTCTTGCCTTCGCACGTGTGTTTATGAAAAGTATCCGAGTCGTTTTATAGTACCGCACCCGTGTCCGTTTTAAGAATAGTCTATGGCATTGGCCATCGCGCGGCATCAAGCTCTGCCGCCCGCAAGGGGGGGGGGCCTTGGCCTGCGTGCGACGTCTTTTGTTGACTCTTTGGAAACTTTTTTGCGGTGTCTCGATGCGATGGGTAGGTGGCGGGCAGTATCACGGGGATGTCACTAAAAAAAGAAACGGGTCCCTAAGGGTCGTTTCAAACATATCTGTCCACGCTCTGCCGGGGGCAGGGGGAAGAGTGTACTCAAGTAAAATATTTGGAGCTGATTTTGAAAAAATTCTGAAATTTTTCTAGGAGCTTCAAAAATGTATGTACGCATTTCAAATTCACAAGGCAAAAAGTTCAGCCAGATCCATCACAGAACATTAATTTCTGTGAAATCCTGAGTATGGTTTAGGTGCTATTCACAATCAGATAAACAAATTGACTGGGAGAGACATAAAATAACTTTTTTTTGTATTAGCAACGCCAAAAACATTTCGGTCAAAATCTCATTACATGAATCGTGGGCCGGAAAAAGGCGAATTTTCACCACAAAAACTCTTATTGCTGCGTAAGGAAAATGTGGATAAATCCAGTTAATTAGTTAAAAAGTGGATAAATCCATCATAATTTTCAAAAAAAATTCCCCACATTTTTTTATTAAATTTCGTTGTTAAATACGGGAAAAGACGTTTAAAAGAGTGGTGAAAGTCTCATTTTCGTTAACATCCCGTATTTTTCGAAAATTGGAAGAAAAATAAAACTTTAAAATGGGATATGAGATTTTTGTCTAAGACTAAGGCTGTTGTACACAATTAGCTCTTCAAAAATGGTCATGTACAATTTTTGCGTATTTTTAGACTGAAATTTACAAAAATAAATTCTCTCAAAAACCACTCCAAATTTTTTGTTTAAATTTTCTTCACTTATGTAAGAGATGATAAAAAAATATAGTGGTAGTCATATTTTTGGGTACTGCTGAGTTTTTTTGAAAAATTTCAAAAAGAAGCATTTTTAAACTACAAACTAAGTTATAGATTTTTCCTCAGACAGAGTCTGTTGTAGAAAATTAACTCTTCAAAAAGGACAGGTAAAAGTTTTTGAAAAAAAGAGTAATCTTGGCGTATTTTGTGATTGAAATTTACAACAAAAAATCTCAAAAACCGCTCAAATTTTACTTTAAATTTTCTCCACATATGTAATATGGAATGGTAAGAAATATGGTGCTAGCCTCATTTTCGGGTATTGCTCATTTTTTTTCCAAAATTGCAAAAAGAAATTGCAATTCAATATTATTATGTACATAACTTGTACACAACTGTCACTAAGGGGCAAGAAAGTATGTTCTGTTGTAGCACTCCTAGTTTTTTAGTACTACATAACTTTCTCTATACTAAGTTATGTAAGGGTCAGTTTACTCAGTTTACTAAGTGAAGTAGAACTGGATATGTTCACTAATAAACAATAAAAATATTAAAAATGATTATCAAGATAGAAAAAGAATTGTAAACAAAATCATACATATAACGTGCATTAAAGAAATGTATTTTCAACTCAAAAGGTATTTTTGGAAGTAATTAAGTTTTATTTTTAAATTAAATATTATGGAAACTATTTGAAGAAAAGTCACACAATATGAATTATATTCATGATAAAAATATATTGTTCTTTCTGCCTACACCAATACAGCACAGGTACATAACATTAAAATAAATAATATAGCTGCTTTATTACTCTCGAACATATATCTAACTTTCACATAAGAAAAACATTGCTGCTTTTTGAGAGAAGTCTCCAGTAAAGGATCAAAATTTACAAAATGAGCCTTACACATACTGAATCATATAAGTATTAGCAATAGCAGCAAACCTTTATATTTATATCACATCATATTTAGTATCTTGTTTAATAAAAAATGTATCTCTAATGAAAACTTCTCTATATACATGAATTAAACAAATATTTACAATAACAAAGCCACAGTCCATATAATAATATCTAAAACGAACGACAAAATTATAGAGTATTAACATTAATGAAGTACCATGTAAAATCAAAATTGAAAGAAGAATATCATTTTTGAGGCAAGAAAGTTTAAAAACGATTCAAAACACAGGCAACACTAAGTATGGATGTACTGAACCCAGGTTCTACATCCAAATAACGATATTAATCACTGAATTCTTGACATAACATTGATTCTTGAAGGTAGTTTAATCAATATTAAATCAAGAATACATCATACACTGGTATCAAAATACCCTGCAGTTTTGCATTTTACAACTCATGGGTGTAAATAAGGTCAAGTTTTAAAAATGAGTATTATATTTCATCAGTCTTATAACCATGGTTAGAGTAATGAGTGATAGCATCATAATTCTTCACAATAAAAATATCATTCATCATTCAGAAAACACATTCATGAATTTCTGTTGAGGTCACAAAGAAACTGATCCACAATGCTTCTCAAATACAAATCAAGAATTTCTTGGAGTATTTTGTGTACAAAGATGTTACCAAAGATGATGTTGTAATGGCAATAAAATCATGTGAATCTCCCATTGCTAAATCTCCTCTTGAAGTTTACCAAACTACTCCAAAAAACTCTCAAAGAGGTAAATCAATGACACCTCTACAATGCTTACATAAAAAAATGTGCAATCTCGACAGTCGGAAATTGCAAACAAACTAGCTAAAATTTGAAATTTGTGCTTACCAACAAAATTTGAAACCATACTAAGTGAATCATCAATGGGAACTCTCATCATAAAGCTAAGCGAGTTCACAATGAACTCTTGTCATAACAGAAATTTCTGATTTTCTGAACTGAAAGGCATATTTTTGATAATGATAGTATGTGTCATATTTTGAGGTCAACATTGATATTCAGAGAGATCATTAGAGCGATGGTTAGAAAATTCTTCATTCTCATGTGAATACCCACATTCAAATCATGTTTAATTTGTAGAAAATGGAATGAGGTAATCTTAGAAGACATTCAAAACAATCTACTGCTTCTGGTCTGTTAAGTAACCATTCATTATTAATCTCTATTAATGTTTAATCTAATAATTTGATATGGGTATGTGATCTGCATGAATGAAAAATAGGAACAAAAAAACATTTTCCTGTTTCTTAATTTCGTACTTGTCCTGGCAAACTTTAAATATTAATGCAACCCTATTTTGTATTGCTGTCTATATGAAATAAAGTGGAGAAATATACTCGCACACTGTGGAAATAATAAAAATATTTTAACTTATTTTTGTTATATATCACACCTATTTCCTTTATCAAGCTTTAAGTAAAAAAAGTACTTAAAGTACTTTTCAAAATGATAAAGAAATGTTTCGCAAATGAATTTGATGAGCTGAGTAAATAAAGGATAATATCTCACAAAGATATGATGCCCAATAATATTTAAGGAATTGAACATTTCACAATTAACAATTTTAAGCTCTCACAAAAATGAATGATAAGCTAGTACAGCAAAAGGCAGACATTAGAAGAAAACAGACTGGTTCTGTTAAACTCCTCATAATCCTAGATTTAACGTGCAGACAACAGTTTGTCACTACTACTATAACAACAACAACGAACATACTGGGTAATAATATCAAAGACAAAAAATAAATTATTCTAATAAATGTTCATAAACATAGCAATTGCACCATAATCCTTTTGAACTCCGCTTTAATATCATCTTAACTCTTTCATAGAACAGTAATATCATTTACACCATCACTGGCTCAATAGTAACGGACATGACAATCTTTGTCATCACTGTTGATAATAAAGCTGAAAAATACAACTTTATTACAAGACATTAAATTAGTTACTTCAAAACAGTTTGCTAACACAGTGCAACATTCATAACAAATTAAGATAATTTTTTCTTTGGGCTTTGTCTTCTCTACGCATGACCCTATTTATTTATTTCAATACGTCAAATATTATAAAACAAAACCTTTGATAATCTAAATCTGTATTTTTTTAGGAGTCCTTGGAACCTTTGCACTGATTTGCTTCTACTCAAGACTGAAATATTCTAGAAGAGTAGACAGTCTTTGTTTCCTTGTGATGTGGCTGCTTTGACAGCATAGCATTAAGCTCACTGAAAAGTGGTTTTGAAATACTTGTTTATACCTCCCAATATCGGACATTAAAAAAGGGTATGGTGCAATCAAAACCTAATTAACATCCACTGAAACTTTCACCTCTTCCAGTGCTGACCAGTCAACGGTCAGTCCATAGATTGCAACAAATATTTAAGCACTCGAATAAAATAAATAGGTATATTTTGTGCTTTCACAGGCCCTGTTTGCACAACTTTTTAATGATTTGTCTTCCTCAATGAGTTTTTCCAAAAGAACATTAAATTACTTTGTAAATAATTTTACCTAATTTTGCATTGAGACAATTGAGTGCATTTAAATATTAAACTATAAGTACACAGAGGAAAGCAAGACTTAGTTAACCTCAGCCTTCATTATTACCTCAGTAACATAAATTTCAACGTATCAAAATTGTCAATAACTTCAATTTCCTTCTCTTTCCATTTTTCATCAAGTTATTTAGGTTTCAGAGCATTTTCAAATATTTCTGTGACAACTGGCACAGACAAACATTTAAACTACTATTGTATTCACCTCACCATACATATTACTACTCTTTACAACCAAAACAGAATAATTTACAGAATACATATAAAAATTAAAATTCTTATATTGTGATGTCAAACACACACACACACACACACACAACTCACGTAGGCTGTGATATAACCACATCTGTGCAAAGCCTATCTTTGTAATACATGGAGTTTCTACACTGTAGCATAAAATCCTCCACTAGACCAACAATTGTATAATTTCAAACATGAATTTCACTGACGATGAACAATGAAATCCCAAGAATCTCTCCATCGTAGCCGTAACAGATCTGAAGCAGTTAACGGTGTTGTGCCATAACTCAGCACAGAAAATCCACGAAACACAACAAACACTACCAACAACCACCACACAGTAGTAATTTTAAATAACAGTAATGCTACTACTCTGACAGTTCCTTGTAGAGTTTCCCTGTAAAACAATTAATATAATTAACTTAACATATATATGTAAATTAAAACCAACATTTGAAATATTATTTGCGTTTAAATTCCAAAATTTTGTAATGAAATATCAGTATTTACAGACTCATAACCAGGGGCTTATTTTGATGATATAAAACATTACCAAAAATGATCAATAAAATGCTCTTAAAAGAATTATAATGATGGTAAATAAAATGACATAAAAAATATTATCAAAACGAGTTCAGATGAACAACTTAAACTGTTGGATGCATTACTGATGTAATGGAGGCTTTCATTCAAGTGAATCTACTTGCTCGAGTGAATCTACTTGCTCCAGTGAATCTACTTGCTCCAGTGAATCTACTTGCTCCAGTGAATCTACTTGCTCAAGTGAATCTACTTGCTCAAGTGAATCTACTTGCTCAAGTGAATCTTCTTGCTCAAGTGAATCTTCTTGCTCAAGTGAATCTATTCATTCAAGTGAACTCGCCTAACAAACTTTTTGTTTGCACAGTTCTTTACCAGGAAATCTGTCTTTAGTTATACTGAAATTGAATGAACGACAATGGTGTTCATAAGCATCACAAGAACCTTAGATTACATACAACAGTTGTCATTACAATTCCAGGTGAAGAAATTTAATAGGCTGCTTAAGAATTCTGTGGAGAAGATCTCGTAAATACTATTTCAAGCAAGTACTATTAAAATTTCATTAAAATCAATGAAATCAGCAAAAAATGCATTGAAAATTATGGGGAGAAGGTAAAAAAGTCTTTTAGACAAAACTTGACGAAAAATGCAAAAAAAACAACATAAAAACGGATCATTTCCTTTTGTCATAACATAAAATTAATTTCAGCACTAAACAGCATTGTTCTAAAGTGAAAAGAAAAATAATGATATTTCATTAAAATCCACCCCATACTCATAACAATCATTGTGAACAAGTAACTAAGCTTAAGAAACACGGAAGTTGTAAACTTTGTTGTTAAGGAAAAACTTAAGTTTACTCAATATATTTAACAATAATTTCATTTTGAACATATGATCAAAAGATACGAAGACTTACCTCAAAAAGTGATATAAATGTTCCACCATGGTGGCAGAAAGAAGAACTTTAAAAGTGAATGCTGGCAAATAGTGATGCAAAAAGAGAGTGCGGTCAACAAAGAAATATGGAATGTAATGAAACAAATAGCCCATCAGCAGAATCTCTCCCATAGTAACAAAACTGTCCCACGTTTCTGTAAACCACAAGAAAAGCATTAAACATTTAATTCCTTTAATTTACGAACTAATTTAACTGCAATCCTTTTAACAATTTTACCTTTACTCAAGTCTTGACACAATCTTCTTCTTCTTAGGAGATAACAAGTCAACAAGAAACAGTACAAACCAAGCAAAAAAGTTCCAGAATACCACACAATGATATTTCCTAACAAATGTACCTGGGCCTATGAGCAAAAAAATAGAAATATGAAAGTAGAGATTTTCACAAAAGATAAAAATGACTGTATTATTACTACAGCGAGAGTATTATATTTACTTACGTTGCTATCAGCACTAACCCAATATGCTATTCCTCTAACCATTAGTGGCCATTCAGTAGGGTCACTACTATACATATGATTTTGTACATTTTCCTGATTGGCAAAGAACATTTTGTACTGAAGCTCCAAAAATTTCTCCCAGAAAGACAGACTAGTGGCACGTAAAGGGATCATTTCAGCATTTACCATTTCTCTTTCTCTATCTTTCTGGTCCTCACCTACAAATAGAAAAACAAATACATTTTAAAGAAAATATTCTTCAAAAAGAGAACAACCATCTACAAACAATCCAGATAACAAAAATTTACAAATAATCTAGAGAACATTAGCCAAATCTTTTCTGATTATTTTAACACTAGCAGTAACACAAGTCATCAAAACTTAAATGGTCATGGAGGATGTCTGCAATACTCCATATAAAATTAAAATTCAACCACATGCATACTATAATTTGTGTCAAAATAACGATTCACCTGAAATGAAGGACAACTTAGCAAAATATAATGTCTAATTTGTAAATTTAATTTAAATGCCAAATAATACACTATTTCATTTGAATGCCTTTATTTGAATTTTAACTTACATGTTAGGTGTAGATTAAATGGCTGATTATCATATTAAATATAGTAATAAACCTTCCTACAGCAGATAAGTTTACCCATCATAATAAAAAGTACTGCCAAATGTATTAATCATAAAGATAGAGATTAAAAAAATAAATTAAAAAGTTAAAAAGGAAACCAAAACAGATAAAACAGTAGAAAATTACATGTGGCTAAAAAATCATTATGGGTTCATTTGTAATTATACAGTTTTACTACCACACTTTTAAAATCATCTAATTTGCGCTTCCTTCAACTCACTAGCACTAGCCTCATCATGTAATTTATAAAACATTAGCTCTTCTCAAGATCTGTATGATGAACTATCAGTGACTTAGCATAATGGGGGTGGCAGACCCCAGGTGGGACATTTAGGGGGTGAATAAGTTTCATTATAAATAATTATATCATCTTATAAAAATTTGAACCATTTCATTCCATATTTTTGTGGCACTTACGATTCGAACTGATTGAAATGAGCATGGAATCTTTCATTCCTTATTCTGTGACATCTTTAAATTAATGTGTAATAATGACATCTTGCTCATTGTAGCAATTGGCAACACCGGCTGAACCAATTACAAGGATTACCCTATTTTATTTTGTGATAGGATTGTTTATAACTAATATTCAGCAAAAATGACATCTATCATATAAGAAGTGTTTAATATTGCGTATTAACACCAGCAAATTAGATTACAATATGGATAAATCCCTTCAGGGAAGTCCGCGAGTGACTTTGACAATTCAAATAAAGTTTTATTAACGAATTCTCAGAAGTCCATTTTACATTAACTTAATTGTATAGTATAGGTATGCGCTTTGCAAACTGTATTTTAGTGCTCATAAACACGTGTAGTGATTGTTAAATTATTGAACTTCGTTGAAAATTGTATTGTTAGTGTACACAAACATTCAACTACGTATTAAATATAGTATTTATAATCTTAAGTCGCCCTCACCATCTACATCCAATGCAAAACTTATGTTTCAGAGTATTGTATCGTATCGGGGACACTGTTTTACTGACAGGGCAACAGAGACTTCGACTCGGAGTTCGGACCTGGTTTAACAACTTTGCCTCAGAGTGAGTGAGGTGCCTGATAGTGCTGCACCAAGTGGAGTTTGCTGGGTATGAACATAATTCGATGAAAGGGCCCCATGAAATCTCAGAAGCAAAGCACGTGGTACTCAATGGCCATTATGGAATGAAGTCTGAGTGAGGTGGTGTTTTGAAAATGTAAACAGTGATGTAGCCACATTGGTTCGCTAATTTAATACTGGTATGGAAATTACAAAAAGAGCAGCAGAAAAAAGTTTATGAGATTGTGATTATTAATGAGATTGTAATAACAAAGTGAATATTCTATTTTCTTCAAGTTTTTGGGTGTTGAGTGAACCTGTGGACCTTTAAGAACTGCCTCAGTGTATAATGAATACCTAAAGTGGAAAGACATTTACAAATCTTTCTTTCATTACACAAATTGGCCTTCTTGTAATGCATAGTAATGCTTTGCCAGTGTGTCAAATTTCATGGTGAAACTCCAGCCTTCAGGCTACACAATTATCCTCAAGTCTGTCCAAATCATAATTCATTACACATTTCCAAAACAACTCTGAGACTGAGGCCCCCCTAGATTTGTATAAAACACTGTATACTTCGAAAATATGCCATTATGAGAACAAGTTTTTGTTCCTGGAATCACATTAATCATCTTTCGATCTCTCACTATTCCTACTAACTTCATCCAATTAATCGCAATTGATGTGCCAATACAGTAGGCAAAACAACTTATGAAAATTTACAATAGATTGATAACTGATTTCAAAACATGAAGTTGATGTAACAAATAGTAAATTGTGAAGTTGGCATACCTAGTAGGGCAGTAATAAACTTCAGCCCTTTTCTCTGTTATTACCTTCATATTTTCATGCTACAAATCAGTTGATAATGTTAAGAAAGTTAGGTACAAAAAAGTCAAATATTGTTACAAAGTGTAAAACATTTTCTGAACAAGAAAATTAAAAATAGATACCACATATTTCATCAGTCACACACAATATTTTTATAGTTGATATTTGAAAACTGTATATGGGTTTCACCTCCTCCAGGGAGCATAATTGACAAATAAATTAAAAATTGATAACAGCACAAAATGTATCTCCAATGATACCTCTTCTGCCATAATTCAAACATATTTCATACTCTTAATAAAATATAATGTAAATATCACATTCACAACTATTAAAAATAATTTCAATTTTGATATTTCTCCTTGCAAATATCTTATTGAATTTGAAAATTTAACATGTAATACAAACTTTTAGTGTACCGATGTTCCTCAACATTCCATGTTGTATCATCTTGATTATGAATGCGGTCCGTCACCACTTCGTGTTGGTTAAAACCCCATTCTGGGAGCTGACGGCCACTAAATTTTAATGCTTGAGTTGAATTTACATGAATGAGGCGAACCTACAAAGAAAAACTTCATCACTCATCTGATAATGCAAGTCTACAAAAACTAAAAGTTAAAAGTAACACCACCAACATCCATCAATTGTATTCATAATTCCCCAAGTAATGAAGAGGTTACAGTATTAATCTTCCTAGAATTCTATTTCATTATAAGTCTTCTTTTAGTCCTTTGACCACCACAGTTTATATCAAGTTCTTGTGGCCATTCTAACCACAACAACTTGATATTAACTTTTCATTCACCAAATCATGTGAGTGAATTTCACTCATCAAACCTTCAGTAGGAAAGAAAACAAATATTTTTTCTTTTGAATTCTAAAAATTAGTAAGCATATTTTTAGATTGTATCAAGATTGGAAGTATTTTTTACACCAAGTGTTTGCACATTACAGGACAACAATGTTCACTTTTAATCTAGTAATTTTTGAAGAATAAGAATGTATCCCAACACTTTGACTAGTTCATATTTTATTGAAGAGATTATTAGTGTTATTTCAAAATACTACACTAATTACGATATGCTGAATTATTTAAGAGTAGCAAACTCCCTTATACTTAAATGTATTTATTTACATATGGCAATGGTTCAGTTCAATAAATTATCATTTCTTTTCCACACAGAATTCAAGGGGTATATTTAATACTACAATGCGGGAGGCTGTGATTCTTAAAGGACCATTGAGAGGCCAAAAGATGAAGAAGAATATGTAATACTACAATTAAAAACTTACCAAGGACTCAATTGTATGCCAGACTTCACCTACTTGATCTCTGTTAATTATTTCCACTTTCCACAGATTCTGAGCAGGCATTGATACATTGTAATCAATATAACAGCTCACTTCCTAAAAAGACAAAAACAGATCCCCAAATAAATACTTTCTGATTTTTGTAAAGTAATAAAAAATTATACCTAAAATTCAACATTATTACAATATTTACATAAATTTATTACAATATTATTAATGTCTGTCCACTATTTAAATTCTCATTTTGAATCAAACTATTTTTCAAATTCACAAAAACATTCTAAGATACCAAAAGTATTTGAAAAAATTTAATTTTTCTTTTATATCCAATTCCAAACAGACTAAGTATAAAGGCATACAGCAGCCAAAATGTTGCAGAGGAAAATCTTACAAAATGGTTTTTCAAAACTCATGAGCACAAACACTACTCATATAAAATAAAACTCACTCTTATATAACACTGGAATCAATTACATTTTTATCAAGAACAGACCTCAAAAATACTGCAATAACACAGATATTTATACAGTATACATACATACATACATAAATATTTATACAGAACAACAGTTCTTTACACTCTAATAATATTAAAAAAGTTACTGCCCCATAATGCACAATAACAAATATTTAATGGTAGGTGACCTCTTCCTTGGTGCCTTGCTGTCCCATAACCAGGTGTATCATCAAAAATAATGGCCTTTGTATAAGAATTCAGTCAGTAAGCCCAATATCATAGTAGGCAGAATAACACAATCAAATATATTTAACAGTCAATATCAAATCTTTAATTGTTTTTGAGTTTTCCAAAGTTCCTGGGTATCTAACGAAACTGTAGACAATTCTTACATGTTCAGAGACAGCACAGTTTTCTTTAAATTTCTGTGCACATTGGTAATTATCAATAGAGATACAATATTTCCGTGCTAGTGCAAGTCATGAGAATTTTTAAAACTAGTTGTGCTACAAAATAGCACAGACCGTATTAGTTTCCTTCTCTCTTCACCATCTAGAAAACAACAAAAAATGTTGCAGAACATTGTATTTACAGCATGTTCAATTAGCTCAAAGGTTTAGTTTACTTTCATGTAATATTTATTGAATAGTCATTCCTTTTTTCATATTTTCACAATTTTTTGGTCCCAAATAGTAGATTTGAAGTATGACAATGAATATTGTAGAGGAGTGAACCATGCAAATTTTCATCAAAATCTGAAGTTGATTTTGAGAAAATGCCATTTAAGTGTTTCTAAAAATTTTAAGCTCACTTTCACAGAAAAGTTTTCAGTTTTAAAAAAACTTCATAAGAAATAATTTGAATCACTTGTACTCACAAACACAACAGTGTATCATAATCTCCCTTAAAGTAAAAATTAATGACACGAGAGATAATTTAAAAACAAACATTTATGTAATTTTTGAGAACTTAAAAGAATACATGAAAATTGTCTTTTATGTCATGTTAGTCATGTTTTAGTCCTCTCCAAACAAAAAGTTTTTAAATAAATTTAGAGCCTTTTTGAGAATACCTTGTTTTTAAAATTGCCCTTATTTTACTCATAATTATGTGAAAACTACTAATATTTTTAAAAAATATACTTGTCATTAATTAAAGACCTAACTGTGGAGAACAAATTACGTTGCAAGGAAAAATCTCCATCTTCATTAACAAAGGAGTCAAAACAATTTCAACTTTTGCAATTTTTTTAAAATTCAAAGTTATCAGTGAAAATCGAACCATCTTTATAAGTGTATTTCACTGTATTCAAGCAAGAAATCTGAGGAAAAGATTTGGAAACATTTTGAGAAAATCTTGAAAATGTGCCAGGGGCTTGATATCAAGTACTCTGAAAATTTACAGAATTCTTTTCAAAATCACGAGGCAGTCCAGATCAATTGGGAATATTCATTTTTCAAAAAATCCTATGAACAGTTTAAGCCCTAGTATTTCTCTTAGATGGACATTTAGAAAACAATCATTTTCTGGTATCAGGAGACTTCAAAACATGTATTCCCATTATAATCTAGAAATTAATTTTCTGTAGCATTACATAACTGTCTCTATAATGTTTCTCTATATATGTAGAGAGTATATTACTCTGTACATAATACTTACAAAAGAAAATTACTTCTCACTTTAAAATGCTAGTGGGACTAAAAGTACAGAATGAAATAGTGAAATTGCTTGTAGACCATCTCTTTGTACTATGCAATGTTTAATTCTTAATCATTTCTACTCTCAATATATATTTTATTAATACCATTAAAGCATTTGACTGAGTATTATTAATAAATGATGAGGTACCTATCTAATCTGATACTCATTTTCAACTTTAAAAGAAAAATAAATGATCTCTACTAACTAAGTAGTTTGATGTAAACAGGTCTTTATATCCACAAAATCTACCGAATAAAATTAATGAAACTATTTCATACCTGATTCTGAGGTGACATGGGAGCAGCCACATCGTGAGAATTGAGAGCCCGACTACTCATACCATGCACCAACTGAACCACATCACCATGCCGAATAGCATCAACAGGTTGTGATACAACAAGATCACTTCTATCTGGTCTCTTCACAATCCACCAATTGTTCACATCTTTGAATGAGTAACATGTTACTTGCTGTTGATGGGAAGAGCCTCGCTTATCCGGGTATCGTATGGGATACACATGTGTATGACTATGCAACCAGCAAGTTCGACCATGTGTATGTCTTAATGTCACCTGGGAACCATGAGCTACTTCCAAAGGCTGACCACGAGTAATTGATGCCAATCCTCCCTGTATGACCACAAAAACGTGATAATATTTTACAAAATAGAATACAAACCTACATAACTCAGCTATTTAACCAATTGCCTACATCCTCAGCATCCTCTGATTTTGAGATTTTTTTGTGGTAAACAGGCATAAGCCTACTATCCTTAAACTTCAAATAAAAGAAACAGAAATAACTGATGCAATACCATGGCAACAACAATATCAGTTTTTAATATTGGGTATGTCAGAGTTTATGTGCAGTGAACAATCACAGAAAGCACACAATGCTAAGCAAGTATTACTTAGAAACTAACTGCTTAAGTTTTTAGGTGAAAGAATAAAATTACTTTTCTTAGTAGTTTCCATTTTCATATTCGCCATGTTACCACACTAAATAAATACAAAGTTTACAGCAATATAAAAGTCTGTTACGAAGTAACTTTTCCGGACGTGTGCTGCCTGGTTTTATTTTAGTAAAATCGAAAATAACTTTTTTTGTATTGTTATGTAATTTGTAAAGAATGGTTCTTCATTATGTTCATTAATTCAAGTTAATCCAGTCAGATTAGCAAGAAAAAAAAATAATTTCTTAAACTACTGCACATCTTCACATCCTCTAATATATATTTAATTTTCAATTTACTTTTGATTGAATCAAGGCATGAAAATTTGGCTCACCTCTAAGCTGGCTTGGAAAGCACTTGTCATTACACTATCATGAGGTCCTGCTTTATACAAAACCGTGAGATGCAGGTAAAAGATACCCACATATACAACAAATGGCACAATCATCGTCACAAAGCTTCGCACAAATAAGTGGAAGCACAGAGCAGAATCTGTGCGCTTCCTGTCACCTAGCATTCTCCAGTAATCACGGCCTACAATGGCCAGTCCGAGGCAACAGGAGAAGAAGCCAACGTATTTGACACTACATTAAATACAAGAAATATTCAGTTACACATTAAAAAACTTCTAGTTTAAAAATCAAAGAAGAAATTTTACTTTCTACATAACATTCAGTGTTTGTTTACAACTACTTTCATTTCAAAAAGTTCATATTTTATTTTATTTTTTAATTAACTTTATGAAGGTAAAATACTAGTAATAAATAATTGCCAAGTCATCAATTAGCATCTGAAAAAATAATATAGGTTCTTACCAAAGAGCAAATGTTAATGACACTGAACCCAATGTGAGCCATAGCCACCATTGGAAACAAAATGGATTGGTATGATAACGCCGGAACTTTAAAATGCACAATAACCCAAAAAGTGCAAAAAACACCAACATGGACTCCATAAGAATAAATCGTGATTGGGTTAACATGGCATTATCTGAAAACAAAGGCATGAGACCATTAAAAACAATGAATGAACTAAGATTCCTTATTTTCCCATATCAATGTAAAATTTCAATTCTTACAAATGATTACTTCATTCACAGAAATATTAAAACAAAAATTAGTAAGAATATTTACTCTAATAAATATTCTTACTTACAAATTAATATTATACTGTAGTATATTTTACTATAGTATTATACAATTCAAATTAATATTATGGGCTGGAAAATGCTTAATCTGCTGTTTTTATTCATTAAGAAAATACACAATAATTTGTAGATATTGACTAATCTGGGTGAAGTTTTATCGTAAACACAAATAAGCTAGATTTCACAAGAATTGGGTAAGATAATGAAACACAGTATGTAATCCTAATTTTAAAATCAAAATGTTTAATTTACCACAAAGAAGAAGAAATCCTGCAAGCACAGCTGTCCATTGTGAGAAACCCAATTCGAGAATTAAATGGTATGCTGTGGGTATGAGTAAACTGCCACATACAGCAGGAACCAGACGTAATGCAAACAGAGGAACTGATTCCGAATATGAACTGCCAATTCTATCAAACTTGAACTGCCCTGAAAGGTGGAATAGAAGATTGTATATCACATAACCTAAAAGTTTCTAATAAAATATAATTGTATGTATTTTCTTCATCCAACCATCAAATCCTGCAAAGTATGCCACCGCAGCAATAAGTTGCTTTCCAAGAGGTGGGTGTGTATCAAAGAAAAAAGTTTGCTTCATATACAAACTGGCGTATTTTCCATAATGAAGTTCATCAAATCTGGAAATTGAAGAGCAACATTTAAATTTAGATTAAATAGAATAACAAAGGCAAAATGAAACGTAAATAGCACTACTTACACTATACTACGGGGCTCCTCCAGCTTATACATCCTGGTGGCAAGCCCCAGGGCAAGGAGCAAAAGCGACATTGCATCAAATTCTAACTTCATGTTAAATCCTGATTTTTCTTTCTGCATCGCCGGAGACACTCGACTGTCCTCTGATGCTGCGTCTGATGTCGATTCACCATCTCCCTACGAAGACGAAAGTGAGAGAGATTTAACCTATATTACACCACAATCAATTTTCCCGCACAGTTCTCCACTCAACCCATTATTGAAGTAATTTATTACCTCATCCCTACTCAAAGGCACGTCTCCCATATGACGTCCCGCCACGTCCTCCACGCCACTACCCTTCATACACCCCGCCCCCGCATCACCGTCATCGCATCCGTTATCTGCTGCCGCCTCCTTCCCCGCAAGCACGTCTCTCGCAGCACCTCTCTCACGTTGATTCTGGCTCTTCCGGGACGTCTTCGCGGCCGATTTCTTGCTCTTCTTTTCCATCTCCATTACATTGAAACTAGCAGGAAACACAATTTACTGAAGGAACATTCCAAGCTCACCGGAGACCATTTCGCCGTGTGTCCACACCGCGTTTCTGCCTAGTTTCAGGTGAGAGGCCAGGTAGGTCAACGCACGAGAGAGAAGGCGGAGGCAGACGGCGGTGGCGGCGGCGGCGGCGGCGGCGGTAGGCGCGTGCGGGGAAGTAACGGGACAACAGCCCACGGCGCAAACGTCAGATGACCCGAAATACCAAAGTAGGGGAACCTTGCACCCTACCGGTAGTGATTGGGTAATGTGAAGGTTCTATGCGCGAAGAACGACAAGCACTGTGAGGAATATCAAGTTCTTCAGAGAGATATAGAAGTAGGTGACGCGATTGGCGTGAGAAATGGTGTATGAAGATCTGTGTCGCATAATTAAAAGTGTTGCATACTTGTGACATAATCTAAGTGTCATAAAAGATAAAAAGAATCTAAGAGTTCATAAAAATTCACTCTCCCTTGAACAGCAGAGCTTTTTCAGGGGTACGAACAGGAAGGAAGCCCCTTCATGTTCTCTACTTGCCAACACAAATTTATGATAATTGCAAAAACACTTTGAGATTTCGAATGATGAACGGCCAAATTCTGCCTTTTTTTATGTTAGTACCCGAAACCACTCACTATTGCAGAAACAAGACATTTATACTTCTTAAACTTCTTTTTCTTCTTCCTCTTCTTCTCTTTCCAGTGTGTTCCATAACAGTGTTTAATGTTCCTCAGCGTTCTGTGACACGCAAGCTTTTCCTACCGAACATCTATATTAATTTCCAATGTGCGCAGAAAAAACAAAACACACACATACACTAACAGCCGTTGCAGTCTCGGTATGAGAGGTGTCTATGATGTCATTTGATATCCAGGAACTAGAGAAAATATAAACACAGCTACATACTGTATTACTAAATTTCAATATGCACAAACAAAAAGAAGAAAAAAATCTATGTAGCCTTCGAGTGTGTGAGAGCTGTTTACGGTTTCGTAGAAGCCCAGCTGGGTTTGTAGAGTTGGGATTGAATTCTCCGGGTTCCTAGGAATTCAAACAAAGAAAGTTCGATGTTAAATGAAAAATTTAAATATTGAATTTTTTTGCATATTCTGATACTGAGCGTTCTGACTGAATTCTCACATTTGGAGTGTAAGTGGGCTGAAGCCATGCGACAGCAAAGCTCTAAGGAAGAAGTATCCCCGTTGTTCGTTATGAAACAAACTTCTTCTATATTCTTGGCGTGTAAGAACGGCTGTACTGTAAATATATTACAACTATGTTATTGAAGTATGTATGAATAATATTTTTGTTAAAATATTTAATTTTTAGCGATGTTATACGAGAGTATTTGATTTTACTCTTTAGCAGTGTGCGAGCTATTTTTTGGGAAGCCATTTTGTGTGGTTTTGTTCAGCAGTATATTTGCTGCAAGTTAATAGTATATTTTAATAATTTCCGGTGCACGCGGATAGTCTATTATACTAATTGCTGATGCAGCCTCTGGCCTTAGGAGAAACATTTCGTTAGATACTCACGAACTCGGGAAAATAAAAAACAAGTGTATTACTAATTTTCAATGCGTTCAGAATATTTGTGAATAAACACATCTGTTACTACGGAAATGATGCCCACTCCTAACGGGTCTAGAAACCAACTTCCAAATAGCAGATTCCTTGCGACTTAAACTTTTCTCCAAAGACAAGAACTTACAGGTTGAAATATGTAATGTTATTCCAAGGATACTTGTATTGTTCTGTATGAACACTGTTGTAACTACCGATAGCATCAATGACATCCTGAATTCTCACAGGGGAATTTCTTCTGGAGGTGGAAACCTTGGTGCGACATATCTTCGCGCCGGATCTATAATATTTTTTTATAGTTTCCCGTAGGTTCTTACAGTGAATATTCACTATACGTACCGAAATCAACATAAATATTTTAGTGACAAAGCAGATCATTCAGACATTTTAAATGAACAAAATAAGGAAACAAATTTTATCATTTATCAATTGTAAAGGAAATCTGAGTAACACAACTAATAAATTAATTTTTTTAAACATTTTGAAATACTTTCATTGTTAGAAAATAGTCTGATATACGTAGGGTAAGACAGATTATTTATTAGTAAAACAAAAATGGAATAGAAAATACTTTCCTTCATTTTTAAATGTGTGCAATGTTTTTAGAATTTTATTTTCGCATATTGTAAGTATAAGGAGCGTTTTCGCACTTTTTTCGTATTTTAAAAGTAAAGCCTGGAAATTGGGGCATTTATTTTATGTGTATGATGTTATGTGAAGGATGTAATGTTATTCCAAGGATACTTGTATTGTTCTGTATGAACACTGTCGTAACTACCGATAGCATCAATGACATCCTATCAGCACATCAGTACGAATATAGCAAGTGATGCTTGAAGCAATAATTAACATTCTGTATGAGTTGGAAGAAAATGTAATACTACTTGCATCTCAAATTGATGAAGCTGATGAATTAGAATGTATAATTAATCTCACGAATGACTTTACAACGCACTGCCAGATGACATTAAACAATTGAAGTCGGTTCACAAATTAAAGTTAAAAGTAAATCTTTTCGATGCTGGCATAACTGTTCTATACAATTAGAGACCTATTACTGATTATCAAAAAGAAAAGTAATGTTTATTTAACAAACGTATAATAAATGAATTATTTACATTGATTGTATATTTTTAAAGACTTAATATGTTTTGAACAAATAATGTACTTCAGCTTCCGGTAATGGACCCCCATTTCGATCAGGTTTTTGGCGCGAGTTTCTTTCTGATCCATGAGACAAATCTGAGATGGCCCCTGTTTTGCTTCTGGAGTATATGTAGCTTCACTATGTGGCATGTTTGTTGAACGTCTCCTTTGTTTGTAATGGTAAGAGAAGAGGTAAGGGCGAATTGCTATTTTCTTAACAATGCAGAAAAATCATACTTACATTAGTGTACCGATACAAAAAGTTTTTATATAACTCAGAACACGAAATGATATTTTTCAAATATTGCTAATCTTGAGCTTTTTAAATTTATTTTTTATGTATTTATGTTAAACTTTTTACTCAAACTGTTCAACTATTTATAGTAAAAAGGCCGGAAGGATTCTGGAACTCAAGAAAATGTGCGCAGATAATCTTTTCCCCCTACGTCACATATAGTTTTTACTGTTTTTTGACTGAATAAATCTAAATCTAAATTATGACGCTGAAAGTGATGAATGTGATGCTCGAAGTGATATGTTCTCTGACACTCCTGATATATAGGAAGGGGAGTTCTTTCGCAAGTGGAAATGAGAAAGATTTCTCTGAAAGAGATTATACATTTAAAAAATGTAGACTGTAAAACTCTAAAATACAAAAAAAATGTAAATTGTAAAACTCTAAAATGCAAAAAATTGTAAATTGTAAAACTCTAAAATATAAAAATTTGTAAATTGTAAAACTAAAACACAAAGAAAGTTTAACCTGTAAAATTGTTAAAAAAATGTAAATTACCACCAATTCAATTTGACTTCCAAAGAAAATGCATCTTGGAATATAGACATATTTCCTCCTCACTCCCCAAGGCTTCTACTTTAATGCCATGTAAAACGTGGTTTTAGCATCCACGAGTTTGCAACCATTTACGTTCGGACATTTTATTCTGCTTTGTAGTTTCTGGGTGCGTAATGCAAAAAGGATCTATTTATATTTACATTCATTCAGTATGTTTGCTTTCAAAACGTGATAAGATGACCCAGGAAAAATCAGATCTCACAAAGAACATACGCAACAGGTAGACATTTTAGTTAAAGTTTAAAGAAGTCTGTTATTCAGGGACTGCATGTCTGTACTTTCAAATCGATTTTTACTTTCTCGCTTTCTCAACTTACACAGAACTGTGAAAGTATTGTAATGCTGCGACAAACATTCTTCGACAAAAAACCTCATTTTGTCGGCTCTGATTCTGAAAAAGTGGATAAATCTGGGTCCTAAAATATATGAACAATATTTATCTACTTTTTCGGTACATTTGTACCGTATAGTAAATCACTTTCTCTATAACGTTAAGAAATCAGAACCCAAGGTATGTGGTCGTTTAATTCCGATGAACTGTGTGTGACTGCAAAATATCACCCCGACTGTCTGTGAAAGTCGAAACTGTTTCATTGTTTGTGGATATTTAACCAGTTGCTGGGTATCAAACGAAACCCTACGCTCCTCCCAGATGGCCGGACGCTGCATAGTTTTCTTTTAATTTCTGCGCACATTGGAAATTAGTAATAGAGATACACATTTGTACGTCGACGCGCATAGTGCCAGACCCGTATAGGCTATCTCGTTTTCACCCGCTACAAAGTCAGTGAATGGGAGAGTTTCACCATGCTTTTCTCGGGATAATTTGATTTTCTCGTAAGCGTTGAGAAAGTTATATCAAATGCTGAAGATAAACGATCTTGATATCTGACGGAAATACACGAATTGGATGTATCTGATATCAAACGTATTTTCTTTTCATACGTATGTACGTCTTATTTCTTCGTGTTTGAGCCACACTAGCGTCTAAATCACCCCCAGATTCTTTAAATGAATTTTCTTCTTTAAACATATGTCTTAGTTTGTTGGACAACTGTATGAGTTTACGAAGCCAATTCATTTCCAAAATTTTCTCTAAAACCGGCACTTAAATTTCTTACACCGATTTAGTAGGGAGCGCTTACAAATACGGCAAAGATCAGTTGTTTCTTTCGAACTTTCGAATATTGTAAGAAATTCAAAAGTTCGGATTCCTCGGGAATGCAATTTTTGATTTGCGTCTGTTGGGTAAGTTGTCTTTCAGTAAGATACAAGATTAAAATTTCTCAATAACGCAATTTTATGTCCAAAGAAAGAAAATTGATGTGATCAATTTAATATTTTCGACAATGGGTACAATAAGAGGATATTGTTTACACTGATGGTGAATAATAATAGTATTCATATAGTAAGAATTATAGTGCAGTTAATAATATTTTTGCACACATTTCAGAAAGATATGAAAATAGTTTTTTTAACCGCAAATTTAGTTTCATTTGGTATTGTTCAAAAAAATGTTTCATACAAACGTTTAGGAAATTTTATCCTCATTAAAATACAATTTAATGATTTTTCTAAAGGATTTAACGTTAACGAGTTGCAGAGAAAAACAAGGAGTAAGGGGAGTTTAGGGCGTAAAGGGGGGGGGGTGATAGGTAGCTTTTCCACGACATAGCGTACAGCAATGAACTAAAATCTCGATCTTCTGCGCATGCGCAAGGTTACGCGATTCTCGAACTTCTCGTGCGCAAAAGATCGATAGAGATTATCGATTGCTGTGACGCTTTGCCATGCAAAATCTCCCTAGTTCTCGATCATGTTCTTGGAAATATGAGTCGATCCATTCACATGGATCACGGTAAGGGATATGGATGGATTTGGCTTTTGGGGTCTCCTTGGTAGACTAGATAACGGTGTCCCCTATGCCTGGCCTAATTTAATTCCCACACTTGAGAGATGTATGAGAGTATGAGAGACGTGGTGAACATGACGTTTTCTCTTCACAGTATCTAGTCCCTGCCTGAGCTACAGGAACTGAGGCGATCTTAATGGAAAGCTACAACTATTCTTGCTCTAGCCGGGAATCAAATCTGGGCTCAGATCACGGGGAGCTATTAGTAGATTAGTTATACGCTAGTACGTAGTGCGCTACTACTAAGTACACAGTACGCTACCCAAGAGCCACCTTAGGG